ACTCTAACATGTATAAGAAAAGATGAGCAGCAGTAAAAATGGCATTTCAGAATTACAGTACTGATTTTCTCAGTGAAAATCCTAGCATACTAATTTGTTGATTATCATGCTTATACTAGCCTGCATACAAAATAAATCATGTGCGTTTCTAGCAATTGACTAGAAAATATATATAGCACTGATAGCTTCCCTTCACTGGAATAATGCATTCTATATAAAGCTTTTATATCTGACCACACTTGCAGATCGATTATAAGCTTTTTGACAGATAGGAAGCAGCAGGTGAAGCTAGGTAAAATAACATTGAATGGCTGTTCAATTAGCACAGGAGCCCCCCAGGACTATGCGCTCTCTTCATTATTCTTTTTTCTCTACACCAATGACTACATCTCAAAGGATCCCTCTGTTAAAGTACTGAAGTTTGCAGATGACACAACAGTCATTGGTCTCATTTGAGACAATGATGAATCTGCATATAGACGGGAGATAAATCAACTGGCCCTGTGGTGCAGTTGGAACAATCTGGAGCTGAACACTCTTCAAACTGTAGAAATGAAAGAAGATTTTAGAAGAAGCTCTCCTATTCTACTACCTCTTATAATATTAGGCAACACAGTATCAACAGTAGCAATTGTCAAGTTTCTAGGTTCTATTATTTCCAAGGTCTTGAAATGGATAAATAGCAAAGTCAAGCATGTTAGAAAGAGAGGACGAAGATAAAAGAAAACTTAAGAACTGCCTGTATAAGATATGACTCACAAAATGTCTAGTAGAGAATATTTATTAACCTCTCAATAGTCACTTTTGTGGTAGCCTGTATTCCCCTTTCTTCGTTTAGGCAACGTTTTCATTTTCTAAGGGAAGTCTTCCTTTCTCTTCTTAACAAGGTTACTAATCATCATGGTATTCTTCTGTAGTCTACATTTAAGGTAAAATCTAGGTGACAAACAGAACTCTTCATATCCAGCTGTGTGAAGTTGAATAGGTTTGATGTACTATATGTACAATATAAAATAAGGCTTAAAAGGGCAGGGCTTTAAAAATGATAAGCATTGATAAGTACTCAAATAAATGTCTTTGGTTGTGGCAAACAGATCTGAATGTACTTCCAAATCCTTGGGTATACTTTTTAAGGGGGTCGACTGCACACTCCTATCCTGACCTGAGAATTACATTGGAAGAGACAATGTAGCACTTTAGGTCAGGGGTCTCCAACCTTGGCAACTTTAAGCCTGGAGGACTTCAACTTGCTGGCTGAGGAATTCTGGGAGTTGAAGTCCTCCAGGCTTAAAGTTGTCAAGGTTGGAGACCCCTGCAATGTTATCATGTTATAGGTTATCATGCAATGTGTTACCCCAAAATGAAACAAAAAGATCAAATAAAATCAGAGATATTAAGGTCATGGGGAATAATGTTAGCTAATAGGAGAACATGCATATCCAAACAGAAGCTTCTACTGTAGTCAGGCTAGGTTCGTAGTGCAGGACCATGTTAGGAACTGTCATTTGTAGATTTACAATATATTCTTCAAGAATGTAGCTTGCACTGTCTCTAAAGGAGTAAAGGAATTACATACACAGCTGGGCTATGAACACTAATCCAGTTGCAGCAAGACTTTAACTGAAAATATTTTTAGCACAACAGGTACTAATAATGCATCTCTGGTGTAATAAACAGACTGCAGGGAAACAAAAAATAAGATGTTTCCAGTGTCCTGTATTAGGTGAGCAATGAAAACTCTGGATTGAAAGCCAGCAACTGACAGAAGAGAAAATGATAGGGAATTAAGTAAGCAGATTCTACCTATTTCCTTGAATACGTGCTTCATTTTTCACCTTGCCTCTAAGAGACTTCTTCATAGGACAGCTATGACTTCCTACTCATTGGTAGGGGAATCTCTAAACAAAAGATTACATACGATGTGCCAGCTCCCCATTTGAGAAAGAACCTGGCACAAATAGTACTCTTGAATCAACACATTCACGAGGGAGAACTTTTCTACAGATAGTCTGCTTCTGTACATGGAACCAGCTGACACTTTTTGCATCTATGTAAGTAATTCAACGTGAGTTCAAAAATATCAGAGTTTCAGCTCACAGGGAGGCTTCTGAACAGAGGTGCCATGCTGAGACACCTGCTCTGCAGCCATGGAGACTGGCTGTTCAATTATGTCACCAGCATAACTTGAAAACAGGATAAGCTGCTCACCGCTTATGAATGTTATAGGCCGACGTGTATTCAGAACAGTGTTTCTGTCACTAACAGATAGGGTAATCCTTCTAAACTAAGAAAATAAATAGCAATCAACATGGTTGAATTTACCAATAATTTTAATGATCAAGACAAATTTCTATCTTGCAGTTATGTTTATATCTGAAATCATGTATTTTATGTAAATATAAATATTTTAAACTGTAGATCTCAGAAAATGAAGTTTCCACCTTTGGGAGGTAAATCTGATAAATATTTTATTTTCTATTGGGTGAAACTTCTGAGTGGTACGGTACTACCTACCATTAGTTTTGAATTAACTCTACTATATACCCATGGAAATTTGATAATTTTAAGTCTAGATCTCATTGCCTTTCTCCTTGACATAAAGGTACATTGCAAAGCCATGGTACATTTGTTCAAGATAATTATCTGAAAGTCAGTCTAGCTATTAAAATAGAAGTAAATTAAAGAGTCTCATATTCTCCTATAAAATTCTCTGATACAAGGCAACACTCAATGAGCTAAACATCCCCCAAACACAACCTGTTCATATGTATCCTTATATACCAAAAAGTTTTAGTTCTGACTCAACTGTCCATAAACCATTCTTTTAGAAGAAAGTTTTTGTTCTTCAATCTTAATAATTACTTGGAGAAGTTTTTTTCCTGTATTCCTGGAGTGGTTCCAGATAATGGTTATTATTATTTCCAATTATTATTCCCAATCTTCACCATATGAAGACTATGCCTCTGATTGGGGACCAGTGGAAACCAAGGGTTATAGAGTGGTTTCATGACCCTTTTCAGACTAATTGTGGTGAATGACATTTTAAGGCCATTAGATCTTTCTTTTGAGTGGATCATGTTTCTAGAATCTGCTTAGTGAGAAATTTACTGTGATAAGGAAAGCCAAAGTTTTTGAGATATATACAGGGCTGTTCAAGATCAGCCCAAGTAGCTTAATGAAGTGCTCAGTCTTACCCCATCAACTCAATTAACTTAAATAGGATCATAATTACTTTTTGTGTTACATTATGAATATATTTTGTTTGTGAGGTAAATAAATCAAACATCATACTTTAGTATCATTTTTGCACACACACCCCATTTATATAGCAATAGGTTCCAGCTGAAGTTCTGATAACAGTGGCAAAAGATGCAAACAGTTAGAAGATTGGAAATGGGCGGTCCTTTTGTAATGGAATTGTATTTGCATTTAAACTATTTTCATTCTTTTTTCATTTAAAAAGTATTCAATCATGAATGCTTGAAATTGTTAAAAACCATCAACTATTATACAGAAAAAAGAAAAAGCAGCACTCTGGGAATGTCAATACCAATTTAGTGAAAAAATAACCACTAATGCATTTATCTGCCCAATTTTTACACAATCTCTCACAGCCTAACAATCCATTACTGTTAAAAACAATAATTAAAAAAATCTGGCTTACTGGAAGTATTCGTATTTTTCTTTGAAACATTTATATATCACTTTATAGAGAATATTTTTAAACATTTATTAAACATTTTAATATTAAAAATATTTTCAATCATACATAAAATGTGTTTGTAGATAGCATAATCTGTACTGAACTATCCTTACTTATATAAAAATATTACTAGGAGAATCCAAAATAATTTTCTTTATGTTTGTTTTAATATTGTACCGTACAGCAGGGGTCCCTAACCCCTGGGCCGAAGGCCGCTACCAGGGCACGGCCTGTTCAAAACAGCATGTACACATAGCTCCACTTGTGTAAATGGCAGGCGCTTACGCCTGCTACTTACACAGAACCATCCCCTCTCCCCTGTCCTGCTCGTCCGCCTATCTTAAAACCCTATTGAGGTTTTAAATTTGGGTAGCCAATGGTTTAATTCTTTTAATTATCTTAACTTTTGCATTTGTATGTTTTTTAATTTTGGCTGTTCACCGCCCTGAGTCCCTTCTGGGAGAAGGGCGGTATACAAATTAAATTAATAATAATAATAATAATAATAATAATAATAATAATAATAATAATAATAATAATAATAATATCTGGAAAGATTGGTGACTGTTGCTGTACAGTATTGTCATTTTTATTGCTATTGCTAAAATAATAAAAGGTACATACTATTTATTTATTTATTTATTTATTTATTTATTTAATTTATTTATTTATTTTTGGTTCGATTTATATGCCACCCTTTTCTAGAGACTCAGGGCGGCTTACAATGGTTAAGCAATAGCCTTCATACTTTTGTATATACCTGCTTAGTAGGACTTTCGGGCCCCCCTAAGCAGTGTTCTTTTTATACAAAGTCAGCTTTTTGCCCCCACAATCCGGGTCCTCATTTTACCTATCTCGGAAGGCTAGAAGGCTGAGTCAACCTTGAGCCTGGTGAGATTTGAACTTGCAGTAATTGCAGGCAGCTGGCAGCTAAGTGCTACTTAATAGCACTTTAGTCTGCTGTGCCACCAAGGCTCCTTATCAAGTATCTCTTCCCTTTTTCAATTTACTCATCTGTTGAACATCTTGTTATAATATAGTCATCAGAATTTTGTACATTGTGAAATTATGAAATCTATGTTGCCAGATGGATATCCATATTTTTCTTACTTCTGTGACATTGCACTTTAATGTGGTTTTTCCCTAGCATTAAAAAAAATAATTTTTATCCCACTTTTATTATTTTTATAAATAATTCAAGGCAATGAACATAGCTAATATTCCTTCTTCCTCCTATTTTCCCCACAGCTCTGTGAGGTAGATTGGGTTGAGAAAGAGAGAGAGAGACTGCCACGAAAGAGAAAGACAAAGACAGCTTTCATGCCTAAAATAGGACTAAAACTCATGGTCTCCTGGTTTCTAGCCTGGTGAGTTAAATATCAAGCCAAACTGGCTTAATTGAATGTATATCAAGTTTCATTTAATTTATCCAGATCGCATAAATTTTGTTTCTTTTACAAATAGAGGTTTTATTAGCCATACATTTACAAATAATGTAATGCCACTTTATGAAAAGCCAAATCTTATTTCATACACAGTTTATGGATGACTCCAGCAGTATTTGGAACACTCCTGTTAATTCTTTAAAATTATATTTTTGTAGCTGAATAATCCATTATTTTTGTAATATTAACAGGACTTCCATTAAAGCAAACTTGCAGCTACAGCAAATTGTAATACAGAATACACCCAAGCAGGATGAAGTTTATTTCTCCATATATCACATCAGTAGTTGCTCGTTGGCAACAAACTTCATTGAAAAATATCAAACTTGTTGATTCATTTGTTTTCTGTACATTTAAAGGTGTTTCTGTAAAGCACTACTTCATTTTCAATGTAAATTCATCCTTCACCACTTTGTGGATAACAACATTATTTTATAATATTTATTTTGTTTAATACCACCTATCTTTTAAAGTTGATCAAAGATACAGCACGGTTCTCATATATTTAAGCCACATCAACCGAAATGAGTTCAAAATTTTCCATAAAGACTTTGGTAGAGCAATAATTGTATAGCATAATTGATTCTGAAAATTCATGGGACTTGTGCTGCAAGATATGGTAATGGATATATAGACTAGCTGCTCATCTAAAAGGATTTAGGTCAGTGATATCTAACCTTTTCTGGACCAAGTGGCCAAAGTGCGTGCGTGTGAATGCGTGCACATGCCCGAACCCCAAAATGCAATGTGCGCACGGTCCCCGCACATGCGCCCCACTCCCGCGCATGTGCAGCAAGACCCAATAGCCAGTTGTTTCTTGTTACCAGTTTCTGAGACAATCTATATATTGCATTATTTGTCCTGATACAGAGACTCTCCAAAGTCATCCAAGAGCAGGTTGATCGACAATATATTCCTTTGACTTACTATAACAAAGAACGATAACCTATAAACAATATTTTTAGCAATGGAAAGCATGTTTATATGCTTGCAGATCTGGGGACTCAATTTCTTGCAGTATGGACTGCAGATTATGAATATTTGACCTCTTCTTAAATATTATTGACTCAGGAAGGTTGACTTAGAGTTGCATTCTTCTGGGGTAGGTAAATGAGGACCCAAATTATTTGGGGCAATATGCTAACTCTGTAAACAGCTTAGAGAGGGCTGTAAAACACTGTAAAGCGGTATATAAGTCTAAGTGCTATTGCTATTATATAAGGCCTCTTCCATTTTAGACTGTTTCAATGTGAGACTAAGCAACATATCCATATATATAGTATAATAAAGTAAAGCTTTAGTACAAAATATTCTGACTAATTAGGAAATAATTTAAGGGGTAAATTTCTAGAACCATGAAACTTCTTTTCAAATCTCATTGCCCCCACCTTGGTTTGCCCAATCTGGTTCAGGCAAGATGTTTTCCTAAGGGTTATTTTATTAACTCAAAGGCCTGTAGGTGATCAAAGTGGCTCTCAGGTCTTTTTCAACTGAGACTGATGATCCAACACACTTGACTTCATCTTTTCTCACATACTTTGCTAGCTAGTTTTTCTATTTCTCAAATTATGTTTTACCTTAAATTCTTTATGCTATGTTTATAAGGAAAGTGAGTATAGAATCCCCAACATCTACATTATGTCCAGAACGCAGCCACGCAAGCTATTGTGGGTGCACCTAGGAACACCCACATTACACTAATTCTCCGCCAGCTGCACTGGCTCCCTATTGGTCTCTGGTCACAATTCAAGGTATTGGTTATTACCTTTAAAGCCCTACATGGCTCAGGCCCAGGGTATCTTCAAGACCGCCTTCTACCGCATAACTCCCAACGACCAGTAAGATCCCACAGAGTTGGTCTCCTCCGGGTCCCATCAGCTAAACAATGCCAGCTGGCGGGCCCGCGGGGGAGGGCCTTCTCTGTGGCTGCCCCAGCTCTCTGGAACCAGTTACCTCCTGAAGTCCGGACCATCCCCACCCTATTGGCTTTCTGAAAAGTGGTGAAGACCTGGCTTTTCCAGCAGGCCTGGGGCCGTTGATCTCGCTCTTGCGATCTGGTCATGAATGGGGTGAATGAGTTTTAATGTTTTTAATGTTTTTAATTTTTAAATGTTTTTTACAATGATTTTAAATGCATTGTGAGCCGCCCTGAGTCTTCAGAGAGGGGCGGCATACAAATTGAATTAATAAATAATAATAAATAATAAATAAATTACTTTTATTTAGATCAGAATGGGTTCCTTTAAATATAGCCCTCCAATTTTGTTGGACTGCAGCTTTCACCACTATTCAAGACTGCTAATGCTGAATAGGGCTGATGAGCACCAAAATTCAACAGGTTAGAGATCTGCTGTAGATTATAGCATCCGTCATCCAGTACTACCCTGTAATCCTATTGTGACACTAATTAAGCTTCTGTATAAATGTTTTATTTGCATCTCTGGCCACATCTAAAGCTGCAGAAACAGAATGCAAGAAACAAGCACATGTAAATCTATGGCTTAACTAAATTTTGTGTTGTGTCTCTTCATATGTACATAAAAGCAGAACGAATAGAGGAATAAGATGCCTAATTTCTTTTAGAACTCTGATTTGCATATTTTAATGTTAATTAATTTTGCAATAGTGTCCTTGAATACTCTTCAGGCAAAAAACAGTTTGAGAATCTTTTCAAGTACATTCACTGGGCTTGCAATCTTAAGAGCAGAATATTTTGACAGAAAAAGGCCAAAAGAAAGGACAGATGTATTCAGCAATATCATGAAAAAAGAAATACTCTCTAAACTTCCATTACTTTTCAGAGGAACTTCAATCTCAGTTTTGCCTTAGAAAACAGCTATTCTTCCTTCCCATATCTGATAAACTTTTACGCTTACCTAGAAAGAGCAAGAGCTTAGCGGCACAAAGGGATCAAGATAGCAGTGCAAAGATAAAGAGTCAAAACACACACCCAGATTATTACAAAGTGCTTTTAGCAATTTAGAGAAGAAAACCAGTCATACTGTTGCAATTCAGGCTAGATAATGTCCTGGGGCCATATATAGTTTTGGTGACAAGAAGCAGTTGTGTCTGGGAAATTTATTCTCCACCCAGAAAATGTAGAAATCTTACACAAGAAATAGGAAAATGGTTTGCAGCCTCAATTTTTGGTAACACCCCGAGTTTGTATTGTTCCACAGAAGTTATGTCTGTGCATTAGCTTACTTTTAGGTTTGTCAACTTTCCTTTTCAGGAAATTGGTTTTTATATAATTTATAGAAATAGGCAGTGGCAGTCAACAGAATATATCTTTTGAAACCTCTGTCCTAAAACATTCTTATATCTTATCATCATCTTTTCAGACCCAATAGCATTTCTATTTTCTAACAGAAATTCAAATCATTACTTTTCTGCAGATTAGTACAAATACGCTTTTTCTCAAGACTTTATTCAACCTACATATTATCACAGAAAACAGCAAGAATTCAGACACAAAATCTGAAATTGCCTGTGCAAGCTGTTCTTATACTTAACACAGAATCAAGTAACAGTAAATGGTAGACAGTTTCAACTGTGGTAGGCATGCTGAAACATCAAGAACACTTGTTATCCTTGAAGCTCTTTTTACAGTGATTTCAAAGCCTCCTCAATGACGTTGTTGGGCATTTGCAACAAATTAGTGGTGCAGTACTCAGATTCAAGTTATGAAAGGAAAAATCTGTATCCTAAAAATAATGAAAACTTAATATAAGTTTGCAAGAAATAGAAATTGTTGTGTATATGCATATTGGATATTTCTGAGTATATACAGAAACTCTGGCTAAGGGTTCTACTATCTTTTCGGGGGAAAATTTTTTTGGAGTTCTCCTCTCATACCTATTTGCCAGAATTTGAAGAAATATAAGATTTATTATGGGTTCTGTATTTTTGCAAACAGTTACCAATTGTGAGGAGACAATGATCCGAACCAATATAAGTAAGATTTTAATCAAACTCTCCATATTCCAGCTGCTATAAATTGGCACTATTTATTAAGGGTCAGGAAGGAAGCAGCTATTGGTGTTGTTCTGTGAGCATAATATAGAAACAGATGGAAAGATCATGCATACAAATTCAGAGAATCCCCTCAGTTTACATTATATAAATATAGTGCTAGCCACCGGTGGGAGCCTAAAGAAATACAAAAACTACTCATAATCCAACAAGGAGAAAATGAATTCTGTAACTTTAAGTTTATTGTGCTTTATTTTCTATGTATTACTCTACATGTATTAGTATCAGACTCTGTGTTATGGGAAGAAGTCAATCTTAGAAACACGTACTGTATGGGCCTAGCGGTGCCTGACAGAGACATTTACAGTCTCATTACTGTGCAAGGGTTATTTACAATATTATACCCCATTTCTCCCCATTATATACTCAGTATGATGAAGTGCCACTTTCTTAAAGCCTTGGAATTGAAGCACTGCTGTGCAAGCAAAAGAAAATCAGCAGTATCCTCTGTACAACACCCACATGCCAGATGAGACTTTTCAATCCACTGCACTATGGGGAGCAGGAGGGAAGAGCTGCAATTTTCCCATAATTACACCATCATCTTTCATTGCTTTCAGAACTCACAATTTCACTTCCAATTCAGAAAGGCTTATGAAATCATAAGCAAATATGAATAATAATAGGTTTTTATGGCCATTTTTCTAAATTTTATGGGACGTAATTAACACTCTGGACAAAGTCACTTTTCTGAATCATTAGAATATTCAAGCAATGGAACAAGTTGAAGTTTTGATTTTGTATTATGCCATCTTCTCTCTTTAAGAAAGCAAAGCACAGAGATAATCTTTCATATCTATCCTATATAGATCGCCATCACTTTTTTTTGATCAAGTGAGTTTGAAGAACTGAGATTTACGCAGACATGTTTGATGTAGCCATGCAATTTGCTATTCAAGAGGGACAGTTAATTTAAACTGAATTACAGTACTCAAGAGTTTAAAAGATTGACATTTAGCCTTGAAGTTGAAACTAATTTATATTTGTCTTTTGTTTTAAAGCCACTTCCAGAGCCCTGAATTTTCTGATCATTTGAAAAGCTAGGTCTTATAGTAATACAGAGCCCTCTACTGTTTTGCTGTAACACCAGCGTTAGGGACAGAACAAGAAACTGACATTAGACTGCTTTGGTTAAAATAATACTGTTCTTAAACCAGAACGATTTAATGTCCAAACTTATTGCCTTTGTTTAATAAACAACTCTGATTTATTCATGTCAGTTCTCAGAATACAATAGGCTTGTCTACAGGCTACAACTTTAGGCACTATTCTAAGAGAAATATTTCAGCACTGGAATGTAAGATTTATTTTAGTTTTACTTTTTAATATAAATATGCCTAAAGATCGCAGCTCAAGCAGAACATTTGTTACAATATTATTCATTTTTAAAGCAATATAGCAATAATAATGCAATTATTTCCACAAAATTTAAAACCTTCCATTCCCTACCATTCAATCAGAACTGAATATGCTTCTTGGATGAGAAGCAGAACATTTTCAAGGAAAAAGAAAGTCCAGTTGCCTTTTGAAAAAGTGACTTTGGGACAACCATGACCTAGATGATTGACAGTCTCAACAGACATATTCACACAAGTTTACCAGCCCACATAGGCATCTATAGTAACAGACAAGGAGGGACATATGATGAGAGGTACATTGCGACATCATGATGCAAACTCTATAACTCTGTCATGTCTACGAGGGTAGGATTTGCATTATGTTGTTACTGTGCATGTGTCATAATTTGTATCTACCATTATCTGTAGTCACTTATACCCAACTATGTACAACTATGTAATAAATTGGGTTGAACAGTTTAGAAAACAAATCACTACTAATAAACAGTTTCTTAAAACAAATTCACCAACTGCACACCAACTACATTTATTCAGAAGGCATTTTTCAATGCTTAATTGGTGGGGCTTTATTATCTGCTATATCCAGAATCAGAATCAATCTTTATTACTGTCATTTGTCTATATCCAATTTTATTCAACAGGCCACATGCATCTAATTGGCACACTATATACATGAACTAGATTGAATTCTACTGTATAGTGCAATATTAATGCAATATCTGGTTTTCAATTCAATTGTATAGAATGTGAAGGATGTGTGTTGTTTTATTTTTATAGTTATAATGTACACTGAAGATGGCATTTAATTTCGTTGTATGAGGTACAATGACAATAAAATAAAATAAAATAAAACTTTGGAAAATGTGAATGTGATTTTTTTTCACAATTTATATACTGCCTCCATGAAGTAAATACAAGGGCAAGTCTATCTCTTAACCATAAAAATTCTGATACTTTATAGAACTACATGAACTTTCACTTTATTTTTAAGATATATATGCAATTGTTTAAAACACATGCCAGTTACAAATCACTTGATGGCAGGCAGAGACTGGTGTACTGAGTATTCAGATAACATTCTCCTAGTTTTAATTTAGCCAGATCTCTACCTTTTTGCAAAAAGTAAAGCATAGCTTGTTATTTTTTTTTTAGAAAGAAAGGCTACAATGCTACACATTTTTACTTTGAAGTAAACATTACAAAAATTAACAGAACTTTTCTTTGATAAGATTTTTAGCACTTTAAAGATTATATATATATATACACACATACATACATTTCCATTGTACATTTCATGCATCTAGCATCTTATCCAGCAATCTTTCTGTCATAGCTAATATTGGGTTTTACTATATTATAAGATACTTAGCTGTTCTCATTGCAAAAAATAGTGACAAGCCACATTAGGATGAGCAAAAAAACATCTAGCTTCCACATTCTCAAGTCTTGTGTTCCTTTAGTGTTTCTATACTTGTTTTCAAACATCAGGTGGTACTTTTTACCTCATAAATGCACTGCTAGCTGAATTCACAGCTGATCCTGATATCAAACACCCAGGTTCAAAAGCCAGACAGAAATCTGTTTGAGGCACAGCAGAAAAGGCCAAGACACTGCTTTCAATCACCTCACCAAACTTCATATGCTTGCTCAGAAAGAGTTAGAGAACACTGTACTAGCTATAATCTCATTAAATCCATTGTGTTAAATAAGTTCCTTTTCTTCCTGATTCCAGCATCACCCCAATAATAGAACTGTTCAATCATATAAGAAAACACAGCTGGGGAGGGAAGCAAATGATGGGTTAAAACCTGCCAGATTTTTGACAGAGATAAGCAGTTTCTTACCCAGAAGCATGAGAGATGTCAGCTCCAGCAGAAGGTACCTCATCTTTGTAGTAAAGAGAAGATAAAAAGGCATCACTGTTTCCCACTTGCACTCTTCCTTATTCTTTTATCTTCTGCTGTCAAAAATACCAACTGGTTTATATCTCCAAAGACAAATATTCTGATATAGTGGAAAAACAGGAAAAAGGACTCAAAGGGGGGGGCTGTGCGAAATCAGTGAAGTCCGGGCTCAGTGGAAGATGTAGAACAGGCTAAATCTTTGTTCCAAAAAGACTCCTTTCCCTTTCTTCTAAATCCTGACACATTACGCTGTGCAGCACCTACTTTTTATCTTCCCTCTACAGCACCTTTGGCATGCACCTCCTTTTCTTGATCTGTCCTCCTGGAAACAAGGAAGGCGCCCAAAATCGGTTCATCTATTCCATCTTACAAGACAGAATAACCTCTCGACTCAGAAAATAGGTGTTTGGTGGCGCACGATAAAATCTAGACGATTAAGCAAGTTCTTTTGACATGTCTTAAAGTCCCCAAAGGATCAATCATTGCATATAGGAATTGGAGTCGGTCAATTTTCTTTCAGGGGAAGCACACCAAGGTCTGATAACTAAATCTTGAAAGATCTTTCCCCCCCCACTATGTTCGCTTCACTCTTAAGGGGCAAATAAACAACCAAAAGATGCCACTTCAGCTGCTGGTGGTCTTCAGTCTGGGTTCCTTTCTCAGGTGCCAAGAGTTGACATCTGTTTCTTCCTAAGAAAGGGAGAGGGAGGGGGGAGAAACATGAAAACTTATACAGCAGAGGAAGAGAATAAACTGAATTGTTGCTCCGAATTTTCCCTCCATGGGCCGTGAATGCAGAGAATTTGAAGGGGACGGTCGAGGGAACTGGAGAAATGGAGCTCATCAGAGCGACGGCCCGCCCTTTCCCCCCCCCCCCCCCCCACGAGCATCAGCATAACGAGGAAAGACCAGCCCGCTATTGTTTCAACCTCTTACTCAAGAGAGCCGCCTCCCATTTTCTCAAACTGGAGAGAAGGGCTTTAACAGGGCGCCCTCTGCAAGAACGGATTATTGGCAAAAGCAGGGGCGGAGGTGGAGCCTGGGACCAGCCGCGAAATGCCACAGGAGCAAACGAGAGGCAGTCAACTGCCCAGATTACATCTGCTGGAGTCCGGCAGATTGCGAGCCACGGGGCGCCCTCCGAAGCACCAACGAAGTCGACGGTCCGCGCATCCAGAAGACCGTGCACCAAGGCAAAGAACACGCGCCGTCCGGGCTAAGCTTCGCCACTTAGGAAGAGAAACCTGATTGTTCACTCTCTCCGGCTACTCCCTTACCCACGGCTTGCCCACTCCACGTGCCCCGCTTCTTTTCGCCCCTCGCATCGGCAGCCAAGTCTTCGGCAGCGGTGCCGCCTTTTTCTTTTTTCTTTTTTTTTGCTCCTCGCCCCGCGCTTGGCGCTACTTCAACTAACCTGTCCGCTCCGGGTTCCACCCCTCAGCCTGCTGCCACCGCCTTCTCCTCGGCGTCTCCGTTCGGGCTTCATTCTCTAGTCAAAGCTGCTGCAGGGGGTGCCGAGCGTTTCCTCTCGGCTTGGAAGCTCCGCCTCTTCAGTGCCTCCCTGTCCTGCCCTTTTTCCCAGCGTCCGCCTCCCATTTCTCCCTTCCCCTTTCTCTTTGTACCTTTCTCATTCACCTTCTCCTCCTGCAAAGTGAGAAAGCCTCTCATTCCTGAAAAAGGAAGGAAGGAAGGAAGGAAGGAAGGAAGGAAGGAAGGAAGGAAAGAAAGAAAGAAAGAAAGAAAGAAAGAAAGAAAGAAAGAAAGAAAGAAAGAAAGAAAGAAAGAAAGAAAGAGAAAGAAAGAAAGAAAGAAAGAAAGAAAGAAAGAAAGAAAGAAAGAAAGAAAGAAAGAAAGAAAGAAGAAAAAGGAGAGGGAGGGAGGCTTTTTTGGACAGGCTAAGAGAAGTTTGAGGACTATGCCGTTCAAGCTGGAGCAGGCTTATTTTTCAATCCCTCTTTCCAAACGACAGCGAAGAAAGTCAAAACTGGGCTGTAGGAAAAACACATGGTTTGTGTTCCCTTTCAATCGTTTGTTAATCGTTGCGATCCTGCAAAAAGCTAGTCCTGCTGCGTGTCTACAGTGTTACATCAGCCTAGCATTGGGCTATTGTTTACTTATTAATCATTACTAAATCGGGAATTCATCGAAGGGTGGCACTGAAAACTGACGGTGTTTATAATGCCATAAGTTTAAGAGAGCAAACAGCGATCAGAACAAAATGCCTCCATGCGTCTAAAAGCAAACAAAATGCAGTGCCTATAATTAATTCAACTGTGATTTTGGAGTAATCTCAATCAGCTGCTTCAGTCTAGGTTGCTTGACGATTAAAACCATGATATACAAAGTTTGCAGAAGATCTATCCAACATAGAAAGTCCAAAGTATGCAGTTTTACACACTTCAAAGAAGAAAGCTATGGATAATATTTGCCAAGCAAATTTCTTTCGTCTTTATGCTTTAAGAGCAATAACGTATATTTTGAATGCGTTGTTGCATGCTGCAAAAGTGATGGCATATAAACATGTTGCAGCAGGACCTGGAAAACGGCAGAAGCTTCCTTATCTGTTTAGGCTTGCAAGGCAATTTACAAGGAAGTGAAAATAGGCGATTCCGGGTATCATTAATGAGTAGACAAATGTTGTGCTTTAATCCATTAAGCTGACCGTGCAAGTTTTCTTTACAAATATATTTTGAGTCATTTTAGTCTAATGCTGTAGGAGAGACTCTTTGTAGATTGGGGGGGAAGGGAAAAGAAAATCATTGCTCCATAATGTAAATAAAACATATCTTACTTTGACTTAACAATTTGGCACTGGTTTTTTTCTTCCTTCTGACCTTTGCTTACTTATAAGATGACTAAATATTGTTGAACTGACGTAGGGAAGGGATGGGCTATGTAGAAATGCACAAAATTGGGATATTCTCAATATTTCTAAGAAGCAGTCTGCACCCACCATTACTCATCCATTTCCAAGCTTCATGATTCAGTTTACAAAAGACAAGTTGAAACAGATGACATGAAAGGGAAATTAACAGTGAACTTCAATGCCCTCATTGATGTTTTGGATTTATGTATTGTGCTAACTAATAATATGTTTTATTTGATTCTCGCTTAGTAATGAAGCCCCCACTCCACCAAACCAGGGGTGAAATGCTCCCGGTTCGGACCAAATCGGCCTGATCCGGTAGTGATGGCAGCGGGCAGTTCGGAGAACTGGTAGCAAAAGTCCCTGCCCCCCCCCGGTCCATGTCCGCCCGGTCGCCCACTTGCCGCTTCTTTTAAAAAATGCTTTTAAAAGTAAAGAAAAAGATAGCGCGCCACAGCTGATCACCTGCCCACCACCATGTACTGTTCTACTTACGCCATGCCTCCTTTTGGCATGCACTGCACACGCACACGCACCTCGCATTTGCTGCATGGTGTGCACTGCGCATGCACCCACACAGCACGCCTGCGCAGCCAGCGAACCGGTAGTAAACCGGTTCAGATTTCACCACTGCACCAAACCTTTGGTAGAGCCTGCCAATCAGCCCAGATTATGTTGCCAAACTTTACTTTTTCATGTGATAAAAAGTTTTTTTTAATAAAATACATATTCTGTATTCTGTTTAAGTGAAATGAAATTTATTTTTTGTCCATTCTCATCTCACTTTCCCTAGACCAATTGTTTTGAATACAGTCCTTGACACATTCCTTCTCCAGAAATAGTACGCTCTTGCTTTATGAGTTAGTAAGAAGCATAAACCCAACCAGCAGTGCTTTAGTTAATAAGCACCAATTTAAAATATGTAGATAAATTAATCAATATAGTTTTGAAACTGCTAGTGCTGTTTTTTCTCTTCAGGTTGTCAGCAGTATAAATCCCTGTCTCCCAAAACAAAATCCAAGATTTCTTGAGTAGGTGAATAGTAGTTTTCAGTGAGAGTGGTTGTTTATCTGAGCTTTGAGAACAGAAGAGCTGTTTGTGTTAAATACTGGGATATGTATTTTCCTTTGAAGAAGAAAAAAGCAATTCGAAATGCATCAGTACTCATGTAGCCATGGAGTGTTTTAGTAATGTATTTTATTCTGCATTCCAAATTTCTCACCCTATTTATTTTTTCAGAATTGATACTGATTTCTCAGTAGGATAGGAAAGAAGAGGAGAGCTAAAGAATATCTGTGTTGTAAGATATTTTTAAGAGAATGATGGAAGCTTCAACTAGGAAGGGTTTCTAGTTCTAACATTTGATAATATTGCTACCTGATTTATACAATGAACTCTTGGTTCATTGTATACTCTTCGCAACCCTTGGTGGCACAGCAGACTAAAGCACTGTTAAGTAACACCAGCTGCCTGCAATTACTGCAAATTCAAATCTCACTAGGCTCAAGGTTGACTCAGCCTTCCATCCTTTCGAGGTAGGTAAAATGAGGACCCGGTTTGTGGGGGCAATAAACTGACTTTGTATAAAAAAGAACACTGCTTGGGGTGGGGGGGGATGAAAGCCCTACTAAGCAGGTATATATAAAAGTATGAAGGCTATTGCTTAACGCCCTAGTCTCCGGAAAAGGGCGGCATATAAATCAAATAAATAAATAAATAAATAAATAAATAAATAAATAAATAAATAACCTCTGGAAAGTAATTATCATGGGCCCATCAGAGCCTGGTTTGGAGCAGTTGGAACCAGGACCATCTGACAGGGATGGCACATCTCCCTTGGCATAGTTGGACAGGCCAAGGGCTGAGAATGATGCTGTCCCAAGCCTCTCAAGCATTGGAGGAGGTGGTCGACCAGACGGAGGGCTGCCTGCCATCACAGACACAGGAGGATTGGCTGATGACAGGCAGTGGTGCTGATAGACAACAGATCTCTAATGAGGAACAGCTGCCTCTCACACCATCCAAGGGCATGAGTGGAATGTAGCAAGCTTAGAGAAGGACTGCAAGGCTACTCAAGAGACGGTCCCCCCACCTCCTCACAAGCAACACCTGGAGTGGAGTGACTTAAGGCGAAGGCTTAACTAGGAACAATTGTTTGTTTGGATTCACCTGTTGCTTTGCCTAGCCATGAGGACTGCCTTCTGCCTTTTGTCTTGGACTGGCCATGTCTTGTGGACTGCTGTTTGGTCTTTGCTTTGTCTTTGGAACTGTCTCTTGCCTTGTATCCTGTCTTTGCCCTGAGCACTGACATTTCTCTTGTGTCTAGATTCTGCCTTGTGGAGTCGCTTAGCCGGGTGGACTGGACTTGGAACCCTGAACCTTGCCTTGTGAGCGTGCTCCTACACTGTGGACTTTATTTGCATGATAGGGGCTGTTGTTTGGAGGACTTAGGGTGGCTGCTCTCAGGGTAGCGTGGAGGTGGAGTCTTACTGGTCGTTAGAAGGCCATTTGCTGGAACATTTATTGAGAGCAATAAAGGACTCTCTAGAGGCCTGCCTTGCCTTGACTACCTGAGTCATAACAGTAATTTGATAAATTGGTTTTTCTACCATCCCCATTTTAATTATTTATTCATTAAATATACAAGGCTACCCATTTGTCAAGAATCTTCACTGGTTCATTCTTATCCTTATCTATATAAGCTCTTATTTTAGTGTAATTTCAGGAATTAGCTTGTCTGTTGTGTAACTATGTGAACATATTAAGAATTGGCTCTTATACTGAGATCCATATTGCTTGTACTACTTTTATTATACTTTTTATTTATTTATTTATTTATATGTCGCCCTTCTCTGGAGAGTCAGGGTGGCTTACAATGCGTTAAGCAATAGCCTTCATACTTTTGTATATTTTATACAAAGTCAGTTTATTGCCTCCACAATCTGGGTCCTCATTTTACCTACGTTAGAAAGGATGGAAGGCTGAGTCAACCTTGAGCCTGGTCAGATTTGAACTTGCAGTAATTGAAGGCAGCTGATGTTAATAACAGTGCTTTAGTCTGCTGCACTACCAGAGCTCTGGTATCATTGTATGATACCAGGGCTCTGGTATCATTGTATGGTATCAATGATTATTGATATCAATAATAGTGATATAATCACTATTAATCATAATAGTGATATCATAATGGTGGCATACAATAATACTTGTTGTTTTGGTAGCTTTGAGCCAGCTTTGAATTTTCGCAAATGCCTGGACAGGTCCCTGCAGTTTTCTTGATAAGATAAGTGATTTTTACTCTTTTTCTCCTAAGGCTGAGAGAGAATGTGTCGCCCAAAGCCAACTGGCTTTGTGCCTGAAGCAGAACTAGAACTCATGGTCTCTAGCCTCAGAGTTTCCTCAAAGATAGCCAACATATAAATTTAATAATAAATAAATAATCGACATATTAGAATAACCTCAAAAAATAAATTAAAACCTCAAAAGTGCAAAAAATTTAAAAATGTCAGCATGGGGATCAGTTGTCTTAATTTAACAATGAATTTATCCTAGAGACGGGACATTACCAGTGGTGGGATTCTGCCGGTTCTAGGTGGTTCGGCCAAACCTCTAGCTCGCCCTGCCCCTTGCTCCGCCCCTCCGCACCACTATTTATTGCCAATAAATAGTGGTGGGCGAGGGGCGGGCGAGCCAGCAATTTAATGAACGGTTCAGTGTTTTTTTGTAATTTTATTGGCCCGCGGAGCTTCAGCATAGCTAATTAGCCCCTTGATTAGATCGGCCTCCCGACTCTCAGCTTATTTGCTCTCAGCTGTTTTGCTCAGAGCTCTGCTGCTTGCTTGCAAAGAGTGCTGGAGAAGATTTTTTTTCCCCTAGCTATGCTGAAAAGCGAAACTGAAAGTAAAGCAGGCTGTTGGCTTTGCTGTTGCTGCAACGTTGGAAAATTAAGCAGGCAGATTTCTTTTCTTTTTCCTCACCAAAAAAGATAGGTGC